GAGCAGCTTCGATGTAGTGGAAAGGAGTTTCAGAGTCAGTACATTCACGATTGAATTTGACCCGAGTTTACATTCCTGTTAGCGTGAGGCGCCTCCGGATGCCGAATGGTGGGATAGATCTTTGCTGCCAAACAAAACATACGACGATCTCAAGACTGGTCTCGAAACGCTTCATATTCGTGATAATGACTCTCCCATAACAATTTATATACAACATCCGATTCCACTACCACCACCTGGAGACAAGAATAAAGTCGAAGCGAAGCCACTCAAGCTGACCACAAAGGAGATGCATCCCAAATGAAGCACCGACATGAACGATGGGTGAATCTTTGGAATGCCGAAGTCGACGCCAAGAAGCCAAGAACAAAAACAGAGCTCTTGACAGAAATGCTGGATTGGGAACAAGCCAGGTCAAGGGCTAAAGCCGCACCCAAAGTGGACAACTCAAAAGATTGGCTGGTATGTTTATCAGTACGGCAGCTATCGTCGATTTTTATTCTGGTCTAGGAAAATAATCGATCCCAGTTTGATCAACTAGTGTCGAATGTCCGACTAAAAGTGAAGGATGTGAGTATTGCCTCAAAAGGCGTACTGAATGAGCGCGATGGTGAGGCTTCAAATATTCCATCATCAGAATAACGGGGCTTCAAACTATCTCGTCCTTCTTGTGCCTGGATTTATATACACCATATGGCATCTCGTCCTGCATGACCGTTCTTTATAGTAATTCATGGTTGTAAGTCTCAATGTATACAAAGCTACTAATTTCAGTACTTCATGGCTAGTCAATATGATCATGGCAGATTCAATGGAAATTGGACTCTGCATGGTAGTAGAATCCATTGAGCCTTGCCCTCCACCACTCCCAGTGCCACGACAAATAATGATCTCACTAAAATTATGTGTCATTCCTACATTAATCACTATCCTAATCTCAGCGCTACTCGTATTCAGTATGCATCTTGCCGAGCCGCAAAACTCTTGGACCCACATAGGCCTTACAGCGATTAGGCAAAACTTTTCAACGTACCAACATGAGGAAGGTCGACACTTGAACTTTAGAAGGAGATTAGGACTTCCTGAGCGACGCCTGTCTTCCAAAATACCGCCGGTTTTGCAGCAAAATACTTCCTCCTCTGACCAGCCGGTAACGAGCGCCTCTGGTGTGGTCTCAAATAAGAGAAATTTGTTATTCAAGCGTGCCCTGGAGCTGGTTTTTTACGAGCCTGCCCAGGTACCAAATCTAGACCACGCGCAACGAGTCATGAGGCTGAAACTTACAGAGGACTCCTGCTGGGATTACTCGAGTAGCCGACGGGATATCTTGGCCGCTTTTGATATAGTAGCACAAAGAGATCTAGAGGAGTCAGCTGCCGCCGTACTAGCCAAGCAGATCAAGACCAAATCTCGGTTGCGAACGAGAAGGAGAAAACAGGTCACCAACAAAAACCTCATGGCCGGATAAAGTAAGTAAATGTAGAATTAAAGATGTTGGCTGATAAAGCGTCCGTAGACGAGTAATTTTTCAAACCAGCCCTTTTGTGTGCTCTATGATACCCCAACATGATCGTACTGTACCTACTATGTCGAGCAAGCAACTTGTATAACATCTTTCCAACCCCTACTCATACAATTCTTCGTCGGCCGGCCTCCAGTTCTTCACCGTATCCCAGTAAGGAGAGAGCTTGCTTCCTAAATTTTCTCTGGCAATATTATCGGTAGGTGCTCGAACCGTCTTGAATCCATGAAGAACTCGTTCTGAGATCACCCCTTGCCAGACTGTGTCACAACGGTTATCAGCGAGAGAAGCTTCATCCGTGGCCATGGCAGAAGACTCGACAGGGTTCTGTGCACTTTTTTCATTTTCGGATCCCTCATCGTCCTCTCCTTCTGTGTCCCGCTTTCGGGCGGGTTGAGTCCAGTCGATTCGGCGCTCTAGTAACCGAGTGTAGTGCTTCATGCCTTTGCTTCCGCCTTCCACATATACGAGGCTAACTGTGGGATGGATGATGCATATTCCGGTTAATCCGTTTTGTTGTGCATTCTTCGAAACCTTGAATTGATGAGAAGGATCCGATAAAGTTTTAATTCTGCGCGAAACAATAAGAAATAATATAAATGCGATATTTGGGTGGACAAACCTGAATAGAGCAGCATAAATACCGCGTTTCTCGTCTTCGGCTCTCCTCAGCCTACTCCGGTACCAGGACGAAAGAAAACAGTTCCGGAGGTCACTCTCCCTCAAGGGAGTGGACTCAAAATGAAGGCGCATCCTTTACTCTTAGAGACGAGCTCGGCTGCCGCCAAGCCGGCACAATCCAAAAAAGACAGATTCAAGCCGATGGCCCCTAAGTTTGCTTCAACAAAGGCCAATGCAAGAGTCGTTGCACCAACTCCTGGAATATCTCTCGAACCGGTCAAAGCCAACCCCTACACCACTAAAGTCACCCCGCATGAAGGGTTCGAAGGCACACCAAGAGAGCGTATTGGCCGTAATTTAAACTTTAACACCAAAGGAAAATATATAGCACAAGCAAATCAGATGCGAAACCAGGTTTGACATTTTCTTGACTGTATGCTGTCTGCTAATAACTCGATTAGGCTCAAATTGAGGCCTTGAAGCAGCGAGTGGCAGCGAGCGCTCAAAAGGTTGGCCTGGAGAGCAGCTTCGATGTAGTGGAAAGGAGTTTCAGAGTCAGTACATTCACGATTGAATTTGACCCGAGTTTACATTCCT